CGCCCGTGGTCTTGGGAGTCCCCGAGCCGGGCCAGGGCGGGGGCCACGCCGGGGAAGGAGCGGCTGAGCCGAGCCCCCAAATTACTAAGGCCGAGTCTGGTTCCAGGAAAGCTGGCCCCAAATGACAGACTAGAACCACAGGACAGAGGCCAGGCTGCCTGTCCCCGCCCGATCTGGGCGAGGAGACTCGGTGGGAGGAGGAAAGGCTCTGAGGCCGGGTGGGGGCGGGGGCTCCCCTCTCGGACCTGGGGCAGGGAGGGCTGTTTCGGCTGCAGCTGCAGTGCTCTTCAGGGGCACAGGCCTGGGTCCAGGCCGTCTAGAGAGGAGCAGGCCTCTGTGCGGGGCTGGGGCTCGGTGCTGGGGCCTCGCCCGCACGGCACGATCCCCGTAGGCACGGCATCAGTCCACTCTGACTTAATAATCCAGGTCTGTCAGGCAGTGCGGGGGCGGGAGGGTGCAGCAAATGCGATTGGGATTCGGGGGGGGGCGTATGGGGGCCCCATGGCTCTCAGAAGGGCAGCCTGAGGTTCCGCGCGTGGGGGCCAGCTCCTGGAGGTCAACCCGCGTGTCCCCGGGGGGCGGGGCAGGTGGACGTGAGTGTGCTCGAGAGGGGTCCCAGCTCCGGGACCGCCCTGGCCCGTCCCCTTCGGCTGGGGGGTGGTGCCCACAGGGCCAGGCTGTGGCTTCCAGACCCCGGTCAGCAGTGCCAGGCCCTCAGGCTCCTGTAATTGCCGGGGTGGGAGCTGCGGCTGCGTGTTGGAGAAGGGTGATTCCTCCAGAGTGAGCCAGCGCTGAGGCCTCCCCGGGCCCCGGTCCTCTGAGAGGCACCAGCCGACGGCAGGCCTGGCCCGTCCCGTCAGGTCCCTAGGCCCTGCCTCTGCAGGCATCTGCCCCATTTTAGAGAAAAGAACACTGAGGTGGGAGTTTCCTTTGCCTTCTGGTGGCTGGGGCTCCTTCCCCGTCGCTTCGTGATCTCTGGTCACATTTGTAACACTTATGGACTGCCTCCCGTGTGCCAGGCAATGCCCTAAGCACCACACAGATGCACCCATCAAACCTCACAACAACCATGTGAAGCAAGCAGATCTTAACATTCACGCCCTTACAGAGGAAGACACGGACACTGAGAGGCTAAGTGACTTGCCTGAGGTCACACAGCAGAGTAGGTGGAGTTGAGCCCAGACGGTCTGGTATTGGAGGCCTTGCTCTTGGGAATTCGGCTAAGTCGTCTGTTCTGGAAAAGGGTGAGTGTGGGGTGACGATGTCTGTGTTTGAGGCAGTGGACTTGAGTCCCAGGTGCCCCGGCCTGGCTGACAAGCGGGAAGAGACCTCAGGGTCGTGTCCTCCCCGCCTGGCATCTGACGCTGGGCTGGGCTGGGCGGGGGGCTCCCAAGGTCAGTGTGAGGCTCCTCTTCTGTCCTGGCCTCTGTGAGGCCTGCACGACCCCAGCACGTTAGGGCCCGGACCTGGCGTCTCTGGGACCTACCGAGGGCCCTGCCGTGATGGGCGGGCACCCCGAGTATCCGCGATCAGCCAGCTCTGGGGGTTACGGGCGCCCCTTCAACAAGAGCTGCAGAGGACGGAGTTGGGGGACACCGGTAGACACCCTTGGGTCTGAGCCCTGGACAACGTAGACCTCGACGGCGTAGATGGACGGCCGAGGGAGAGGGCCTGGCTGGAGACCAGGTTTGGAGGCCTGCAGGCTGCAGTGTAGACGCCGTGAGGCCTGGGACCGGCCAGGCCAGCGGTTCCGGCCACCCGGCCGATGATTCCGGGACTGTCTTCTTACCTCGAGACCGGGTGGTCGTGCAGACCTGGGTCACGGAGGCCTCCGGGGCCAGAAGAAGTCGGGCTTCGTTCGCGGGGCAGGAGGGTCCACAGGGCAGCGCCGCTGTCTGCTCGGGGGGCCGGCCCCGGTAACGCCGTGGGGGCCGTGTCTGGCAAGCAGCAGGCGCTCCACGCGAGTGGGTCCCCGTGGCGGCGGCGGCGTTAGTGACGCGGGGGCGATACCTGAGCCCAGAGACGGGCTGTGGGCTCCGGAGCCGCCGCCCAGCACTAGGAGGAGGTGGAGAAAGGCACGTGAGGCCAGGCTGCTGCCCAGGAGGAGCCTGGCGGAGGCGAGGGGCATCTGGCCTGGGCAGTGCCACCGCGGCTCCGGGACGGGGAGGGCGTGGCGGAGCCGTGGACGGGAGTGTGGGTGGCTGGGACCCTGAGGCGGGGGAGGGCCTGGGGGCCACAGAGGGGCGTGTGTCTGGGCTGCCATGTGAGGCGGAGCCGGCGTGCCCCAGGGCGGGCGGCGGGGGGACAGCCGGCCTTGGACGAGAGGCGCGACCCCGGGGGCCTGAGAGCGGGGTAACTGGGGGTCAGGGGGCGAGAGTGTGCGGGCGCTCCCGCTCCAGGGAGGAGGACCCCGTGGGCGGAGGAGGGCCTGGCTGGGGGTCCCGAGAGGCGGACCCAGAGTTGTGGCCGGGGGGCGGCTGGGGCTGCGCGTGGGGCTGGGGGACAGGCTTGGCCTCAGCGGTGGGAGGCTGCTCCCGGGCAGGAGGCCCGTCCTGTGACCCGCCAAGCCTCAGCCTCCAGGAAAGAGGCTAAAAATAAGGCCGTGGCGGGAAGAAGGGAGGGGCTGGCGGGCCCGGGCCGGGCGGGAGCCCAGAGGAACGTCCCGGCCGGCTGCTGTGACACACGCTTCCCGAGCCAGCGGCCAGCGGCTCTCACCCGCCTGTGGCCACGGCCCCTTCCAGGCTGCAGGAGGGAAAACATCCCCCGGGCCCCAGGCTGTGGACCCAAGGCTGGGCCCCAGGGTGCCGGGGTGAGGGCATCCTAAGCATCCCATGTCTTGGGGCCCGGCCTGCCCGGGGGTTCCCTGGACACCCATCTGGTCTGGATGTGCAGAATGTTCTTCAGCTCTGTGTGTCAGAGGAGGTCAGGGAGGCTTCCTGGAGGCAGAGGCAAACACTGGGCCCCGAGTGTCAAAGGCTGGGAGGTGCCTCGGGGAGGACGCAGGGGTGTTGTGTCCACGCTGCGGACACGTGCTGGCCTCATGGGGACCGCTCTGATCCGCCTTCTTCCCCAGAAGTGAGCCGTGGACAGTTACGGGGGGGGGGGCGCTCACCCTCCCGCCACCCCCCCCCCCCGCACCTGTCCGTCACCTAACGTATGTTGGCCTCTGTCCCGGGTCCTGGAGATGACCTGCCCACGACCCTGCCCCCAGGTGGCTCCCGCTGTGGTGGGGGATGGGGCATCCACTCGCCCATCGGTGTCTGTCCACAGACAGCTGCTGTGGGCTGGCCGCGTGCGGGCCGGGCGGGGGCCGCAGGGGTGAGGCGCGTGCAGAGGCAGCATGGCAGAGGAACACGCTTTGGTGTTCGTCAGCAGATCTGGCTTCAAATCTCATTCGGGCCCTTGCCTGCTGTAGGACACGTTATTTCACTTCTCGGGGCCTCGGTTTCCTCATATGTAAAATGGGGCGAAAATCCTAGGAAGCAGCAGGGGTGGAAGAGCATCTGCAGAGCCTCGCGTGGCATCTGGGCCTTCGCGGGAAGCAGTCATCAGTGGCTCTTAGCCACCACGGACCCAGGGAGCTCATACCCATGTCCCTGCGTGTCTTCCCCGCAGAACTCACTGATCCTGGTGTGACGGAGCGTGGGGGCACCTGCCTTCTTGAGGGTGACAGGAGGGGGGAAGCCAAGGAAGTCTTCCTGGAAGGAGAGGCACCTGAACTAGTGTTGAAGGAGTGGCAGCACTCGGCACAGCCGGCGGGGGGGAGCTCGCGTGGGCAGCTCGGGGGCCGGAGCACGGGGCAGGGGTGCTGAGCTGAAGCGAGGCTGAGCCTGCGGCCTGGTGGAGGCCGGGCTGCGTCTCTGAGGCACTGGGGAGCCACGGGAGGTGCTGAGTGTGTGGGAGAGGGAGGCCTCAGCAGCCCTGGCTCAGAAGTGGGGTGCAGGGGCTGGGGGGTGAGTGTGGGTGGTGCCCCAAGTTTGGGCCCAACCTCGCCACCTGCGGAGGCCCCACCTGCTGGCCCCGCGGTGCGCAGGCCCAGGACAGGCCCTTGGCTTCCACGTTCGGCCGCCTTAGTCATTAAGTCATTAACTGGGCCTCACACAGCCTCTTCATTACGGTAATTAGAAGGAATCCACTCAGGCACTCACGAGGAGGCAGGAGGCGGGCGGCCACGACTCCTGTCAGGCTGCATCCCCGCCCTGGGCCTCGGGGGGAAGCCTCCAGGCAGGACCCTCCTCCGGGGCCTGGGGCGCGTGGCTTAACCTCTGGTGCTCAGCTCCGTGTCTGCCCAGTTCCTGCTCAGTGCTGTGCACTGGGAGACCCCCGAAGGCAGGCCCCTTCCTCCGTCCCCTGCCTGGGGGGCTCCTGGGGCAGCCGCCTCCTGGCTTCCTAACTCTTCTCCGTGCAGGAGTGTGGTGGCCGGCGGGTGGGGGTGGGGCCCCTGCCTGTGGCCCAGCCCCCCCCCTCCCCGCTGTCCTCAGAGATAAGCAGAGGTGGGGGCCCCCGGGGCCTGCAGGGTGGAGGCTGAGCGGTGGGAGAGGGGAGGAGGGTCCCGGAGGTTGCCGGCCCCCACGCAGCCGTGGCTGTCTGTCCGCGGTTGTTGGTGGCTTTTCATCGTTGTCCTCCTGACCTGCAAAGTCCTGATGGGAGAGCAGAGGTGGCCGGGACTTGGGAGAAGGGCAGGCATGGCCCCCAGGGGCCCCCTCCCCCCCACATCGCAGCTCTGGCATCGGAGAAGCAGGGATCCCAGGGCGGCTGAGTGAGAGCGTGCGTGTGTCTGTCTGCGCCCCCGGCCCCTGCAGTGGCTGAGTGAGCGGGTGGGATCCCGTGTCCCCAGGGCGAGCACCCGAGGCCCCGGTGGGGTCAGGATGGCCTGCAGAGTCCCCAGTGGCCTTCTGTCGATGGGGCTGGGCTGGGCTGAGACTGGGGGTCTCTGAGGTGGGGTGGGGGGGTGGGGGCACCGGGCATCAGACATACGCACCCTCTGTCTTCCCTCCCAGGCGTCCTTCTGGACATCCAGCAGCAGTTTGGGGTCAAGGACCGAGGCGCCGGCTTGCTGCAGTCAGGTGAGGCCCGCACCCCTGCCCCCCCCCCACCCGCTGGGGCTCCCTGCGGGGTCTCTTCCCTGCTCCTGACCTGCTGCAGGAACGTGTGAACATGTGCTTTGTGTCCACACCTCGCGGGGGTAGCTCACGAACACCTTGCTTCCCCAAGCGCTTCTCCCCCGTGAAGCACACAGGACGCACGGGGGCCACAGGCCCGAGGCCTTCGAGGGGACCCTGCTTTTGGGTCCTGGCGCCTCATCAGGACCCAGTGGCCAGGGTCTGCCCTGGGGCTGGTGAAGGGAGTTCTTGGGTTCCGGGCAGGACAGTGTCCCTGCTCCGGAGCACACGCCCCCATTTCCTCCGTCGCCGTCGGCCTGGGAACACTCCCTGAGCAGGAAAGCCCCTCGGCCGGTCCCGGAACCATTTCCAAAGTCAGGACTGCGCCTGGGCCCTGGGCCCTGGGTCCTCGGCCTCGTGGGGCGGGGCAGGGCCGTGTCTCCGTGGGCCCTGCCGACGGCCACCCAGCCCCATGCCTGCTGTGTGGCCGAGGGCCCGGGTCCTGGCCCTGGAATGCGTGTGCCTGTGAGGCCCGCTCGGGTGTGGGAAGTCCGTGGCCTGCATTCCAGCCTGTGAGCCCCTTCCCCTGCCCGGGCTGTCCTGGGAGGGAGGGGTGGAGCAAGCCGGCTCTGTCCCAGAACCGGCCCGACCTGCCTAGGTGGCATTCCAGAATGTGCTGTGCCAACCTCCACGGCCTCCGGCCTCCGAGAGCCACTCAGCCAGGCCCTGCGGCCTGCAGTCCTTTCCCAGGCTGGGTCTCTGGGGCTCAGACACAGGATGTGACTGCTCCAGGGCTCAGCCCCAACCCACCGCTGAGTGAGCCGGGACACCCTGAGGGGGGCCAGCCCCTGCCTCTGCCCACATCACCCAGGACAGGGGCCCAACCCTGTCCCCGGCCCTTCTCGCCCACCACCCCACTCCTCAGCCAGTCGGCCGCCCCGGGAGAGGTGGCCTCTAGCCCCCTGGGCTCTGTGCACCCAGTGACCACCACTCACAGCCTGGAAGAGGGAGTTTCAGCCAGATGTGGGGAGCGGGGAGAGGGCAGGTGAGAGCCCAGCTCTCCAGCCCCCTCCCGCCGCAGCCCCTGCTGGGCTGGCTCCCCGGGGTCCTCACCCGCCGCCGGTCACCTGAGCGGAGGAGCCAGGCCAGCTGGAGCGGGATGTGACTCAGTGGGCAAGCGGGGAAATCACCTACTTGTCTCTTCCCCAAGCCCCTGATAAGGTCGGAGCCAGGTGGAGGGCGCCAGCCAGGTGCTGGTGTTTGCCCGGATCAAAGGACCAGGGCTGAGAGCAGAGTTGTCTGCTCATTAGTGGGCACCAGGGGCCGCTGGGCCCGGAGCAGCTGAGGGTCAGGCCCGGGCCTGCCCGTCATTTCCCCTTGGGACCAGGCCCTGAGAGCCAGCTTGGGAAGAGCCTGTTTTTGGCAATCCCCTGGCAGATGGCTGCCAGCCCTGGGCGGCCCCCGAGTCCCCCCAGCTCTGAGCACCCCCCAAGCCCCCCCAGCTCCAGGTGGCCCCCGAGTTCCCCCAGAAGCCCACAGAAGAGCTCCAGCTCTGGTCTTGGGACCCCGGGTGTCTCCGTAGCCTACACAGAGAGGGGCCGCTGCTGCTGGGCTCTGCCACAGGCTCGGCCCCTGCATTCCGGAAGATTCCTCCCATCACTGAGGACAGAGAACACATCCAGTCACCACCCAGGCATGGAGGGGGGAGGGTGTGGGAGCCTGGGGGGCCAGCAGTGAGGGGGCACCTGGCTCTGCCTGGCAGCAGGTGGCTCAGACTCCCCCGAGGAGGGGACATTTGAGTGGGGCTTTGAAGGATGTGTTAGAGTTTGCTCAGGGCATAGGGTAGGGCTTACCACCAGTCCGTCAGCTCGAGTACATGTGAGAAGCCCTCCGCTCCCCACTCCAAGCGGGTGAAATATGCCAGGAGGACACTGAAATTACAGAGCTGAGCTTGGACGCTGAAGCAGGCAGGGGAATTCCCTGGTGCCAGGGGCGGAGAATGGAGCCCAGGAATCGGGGAGGGAGCTGGTGTTAAAGCCAAGTGGTGCGGGGCACCTGGGGACTCATGTCTGCCACAGGAGCTCGTTACGGTATTTTTAGTGTAAACATTTTTATGATGAAAACTCTTAAATACACGTAAAGAGTAGAGAGGCTAGCAGGGCAAGGCTTGTATAGCTATCGCCCAGATTCACCCATGAACCGCCCACTCTGGCCCAGCATCCAGGCACGGGGGGCTTCCTGGAGGAGTGGCCGTGCAGGCTTGGGGTCCAGCATCGCGTGGCTGACTCGGTTTCCACCCAGAGCCCAGGGCAAGCCCCTGATTTCACGGTGCCCACAGGCCGGTGGGCTGTTTTTCTGTCTGAGCTGTCTGTCCCGGCCCTGGCTGTGTGCAGAGAGCCTGCCCCGCACGGCCGGGCTTTGCAGCCCCTTCTGCGCATGCAGCTCCTTACTGAGCCTTCGTGCCCCAGGGCCTGTGTGGGACATGGGTGACGGCGCCTGCTGAGGGCAGACTGACCATGAGCAGAGCCCACGAAGAAGACGCCTTTGTGGGGGGGGGTCAGTAATCCCAGAAAGCAGGGAAACCGATTCCTGAGGAATCACAGGCAGTAGGGGCGCCTTAACGGACTTTAACGTCACACGTGCTTCATTTCCGAAGTTCCAAAAATAGAGTAGAATTTATAAGACAGGAATAGCACCTTATTGAGAAAGAACAGGGAGATAAAGAGCCGAATTCAAAATTCTGGAAGTGAAAAATATAAACACTGAGATTCAGCAGTGTAACAGACCCAGTCGAAGAGAGAATAAGCAAATCAGAAGCTGGGTCTGCGGAAAGCAGCGGGTCCACAGAAGCAGAGCGGATTGGAGGCTCTGGGGAGTCGTGTTTACCACCCCCCCACCCCCCACCCCCGCCGCTGGGAGGGAAGGAGGCTGGGCAGGGGGAGGGGCAGATTGGGAAGGGCCTCTGGCTTTGGTCTTGGGGTAATAGGGAGCCAGAGAAGGCTTTGGGGCAGGCGAGTCCCCTTTACACGTCTGCATGATGTTCTCCTGGGACGGGTGGTGGGAGAAGGCACCGGAAGGCAGCTCAGGGCCGGGGTTGGTGGGGTCAGGACGAGCCAGGGTGACTATGGGGGAGGGTGGGGACGGAGGGGCAGAGGAAGGGCCAGCTCAGACCGAAACCAGACGGCGGCTTCGCTTGGGGCAGAGTCCCCTCCTGGCCTTGCTGTTCTCCGCACTTCCGCACTTCCGCCTGCTGGGCAGCCAGGCCCCCCGAGGCCCGAGGGCCCGACTGGGCTCCTTTGGGGGGGGGCGGGAGGCAGGAGTGGTTTCCTTCTTCCTGCAGGAAGCCCGCGCCGGTGGCCTCAGGCCCTCAGGCCCGGCTGCGCTGGGTCCTGCCCGTGGTCGGGTGGTCGGGCGTCCGCCGTCCGCGGCCTGTGGGCAGAGCCTGCTGGCACCCTGCCTGCCCACGGGAGATGCAGGACGGCGCGTCTCCCCGAGTAACAGGTCGGCCGGATCCGGACTTTGTAAAAATAGCCCTGGTTCAGCCCAGGCTGAGGTGGGGGCCGGACGTGAGCTCCGAGGCCACCGTGGGGGCGTCCGGGGTGCCCCCAGCATGGACCTCACCCACCCCTGCTCCAGGACCAGCTTCTGGGGTCGGACAGGGCCGTGTGCACATGGGAGCAGCCCTGGGCAGGGTCAGAGGGGCACAGGGTCCTCAGTGGGGTGGCTCTGGACCTCTGGGGGCTGGCCCCTCTGCGGCCCCCGAGGAGAAGGTCCCTGGGGCTCCGGAGACCAGGCAGCCCCGTGGGGCGGGGGCACCCCCCAACGTCCTTCTGCGGGGAGGCTACCCCCCCTGCTCCGTGCCCCCCCGGCTCCCTGCCCCCCCGG